AGCCGCCTAGCTTTTGTGGTTCCCGAGTTGAAAGTGCGGGACAAAATGCGGGACACACACACAAACCCATACACACATACACACAAACACACACACACGCTCAGACAACCCCGTGACAATATGTGTTTTGTAATACTGTTACACAGCACAAAATGCACAATAGCAGAATACCAGATAAGATTCCATTATAATTTTTTAAATCACTTTTACCACATGTTTGTTTTCTTTCAATATTCCGTCAAGAAATTCTCTTTTACCTCAACATTTCGTTTGAATCACTACGTTAAGCACAAATTTTTACCCTCAGAAAAAGCTAGATCAAGCAGACTTTGTTCCACTGTTGTCCGCCACAGCCAGCGCTTGCTCTTCTAAATTTCGTCCATGGTTACTCTTCGCATTCGTGCGTCACTGCTTGCAGCAGTTGTAGAATTTGGCAAGGCTCTCTTGGTTCAACACTTTGCGGATGTTGACAACGCTGTGAATTTTGCGCCAACTAGCAATCCTTTGAATGTAATTCGCGGCTCGATATTGTGACGCAAATTTACGTCCTGACCAAAACATATATAGCTGCCAACTTCCCACTGTCTGCCTGCAATTCCCTTTCCCCCACTTCCAATCGGCATATCAGCACTTCTTCTTCGATACGTTAATTTTCAGGCCCGTTTCACCCTGCAGGACTTCACCTATCTCCCGAAAGCTGCTCGCAATAAAATCTATGTCATCCGTAAAAATCTACGTAATTTAGCTGCTCGCCAATAATTTCCAAACCACCCATACAGTCCAATTTCCTAAAACAGGCCGTGAACATTCGAACGACAAAAAGAACATACCTTTGACAAGCACCATCGACCAGTGATCCCTGACGCAGTGATGACACCGAGTCGTTGATACAAAGATTTTTGCGCGCCGAAAGTGCCACAGCAAAAAGTGACGGTGGTTTCTGAAAAAAAAAAAAAAATCTTACTTTTGACATGATCTCATCATAACTGAGGGGGAGTGATAAGTTATTTAAGGAAAAATACATTTTCATCAACAGGAACTATAACTGGCAATGCTTCTGTGATTAAAAAGGTGGCTGGAAACTTTCAGAAATCCGTTTTTCCCGTGATTCGTTGTAGCTACACAATCCCTACATATCTCGCTCTTTTTCCTAAAAAAAAATTAAGAAATTCAACCGGAAACGTACTCCGTCCAACTGCTCATAATATTTGAAAAGATTCCGCAATTCCTCGACACATTTCTCAATTTCTGGAATTGTTCGAGAGCAATATACAAGTTTATCCAATCGATCAGGATATCGTAGCATATAAGCAACAACCAGTGAAAGTAGTGATACAGTTTTGCCGGTACCCGATGGCATCTCCAATAAACAGTGCCCCTAAAAACAAGCAAGAATTCTAGCCGATTCTAATAATTTAATAACGAAGATTTGGACATTTTTTTAATCATCAAAACTGTACCGCAACTGTTAGTTTTCTCTCTTTTCTCTGTACCAATTTCCTGTTTGCTCGACACTTTTAAAGGGGGAAAAATGGAAAAACTTAGTTTTCTGTTTGTACTATAGCAATTTTCTGCTGTGTTCAATAACTTTTTCATAGAAAACAACAAAACTTGCTTTCGCATCCAGCGATTTCTTCAGTTCGGCCATGTAAAAAATCTGCTCCGGATAGATGTAGTCATAGGGGAAGTACACTTCCAGACCATCCACATCGATCCTGAAAACACTTTTGCGAATTTCTGCATTTAAAACAATATCTGAAACAAGAAAGTAATTTATCTGTTACGTGAAGACTTTTTCGCTGGTGAAGCTAGTTTACTTGGCCCCTCCCTGCTACGCAAGAGCGTATCATCGACGCGTCTCGCAATCTTTTTCGCAACTGTTAGAATTAGAAAAGGTTATCTGCTCCTGATCGTACTTCCGTCGTTCAATCCCCTCCGTCACTGTCGTGAACGAAGCCCTTTCTCCGACAACTGCTCCGGATCGCGAAGGAATCGAACTACTCTTCTTCACGTTCGGACGCAATGTGTTCCCACTGCACCACCGGTCCTTGTGCTCCAAGTTCGGCTGGCAGCACATCCACTGTGTATCTGCCTTTCATGGCAAGGCACACCTCTCTTTTCTTTCCTTTTTCTTTGTGGCCGTTTCTTGGCCGACTTTTCGCGAGCTTTCAGCAACAGCCATCCCTATATTTCTTTCTTTTTTTTTCAAAAAAAGCTGAAGCGCTCATAAGCTACGGTGTTTTCAGATCCACAAATTATGCAAACTGGTCTGGATATCTGATAGTGGAATCACGCAATATTTTTGTAAATAAACTTATGTCAGTGATCAACAAATTTGAAAATTTAGTGGACTTTTTTCTCCTTCAAGCTTTCTCTCCTCCTCCTTCCTCTTCTCTGAAAAAAAAAAAAAAAAAAAATTGGCCAACGCACGGGCTGCCCGTGCGAAGATGCGTTTTTTGCATGG